CGCCCCTTTACGTGACCCAATAGCTAATGAATTCCCTTCCACATCCCCACTTCTTTTCCCACCGGATCTCCTGGATTGAGCCGGAGGGATGGCTTTCTCCAGACTTGCGTGCCTTGTGGCTGAACTCGATTCCGAATATAACGCGAGGTGCGTTTTGGAGCACGTAATTTCGAAAAAAAAACTCGCGTTATATTCATGCAAATACGGTATTTTGGCCTGAAAAAAATGATGTTTTGGTTATAGCGCGGTACCGCTTATAGTGCGGATTTTCGCAACTCCCGCGACATACGTTATATGCGGTCTACACTGTACTATTTTATACGTATACAGCACTTGCAAGTATAGCGTGTTTTGTGTGTGCTTTAAGTGTCTTCATAACACCAGTTTCTTTGCGTATTGTGTGCGTCAGGTCGACGCATTTTGAGGCGGCGGCATGTGAAGGTGTCGCGTAAACACTGGGAGAAAAGGGAAGGAAGAAAAAGATTGAGCATGAAAAGAAAAAGAATGTCACCACGCCTCAACGGAGCCGGGCATTAAAAGAGATATTTCGACTACCAATCAAGCTTCGTCGCATACAGCATTCCTCAAAATCAACATTTGTTTTAAAAAAAATTTCCTAGGCCTCTTTCCCTAAGGGTGGTTTCACATGTTTTCATTTGATTGTGACTGACTGGTTCACAATAACTTGTGACTATAAAAGAAGGTGCCCCTGGAGACGGCATGCAAATAGCCCTTAAAAAGACACTGACAGGCTATTTATGCCTGCCACGGTTTTTATTTGTACATGACACAGGAGAGCCCAACTACCCAGAACACAATTTTCCGCTCGAAATTTTTTCTTTCCGCCCAAAAACCGTCGATAGAAAACTGGCCGGTTTGAGTCATGCTCACTCTCTTCTCCAAAATCACGAGCCATTTTACATGGTCTAGACACACACACCAAATATAATCAAACTTCTGGGTCATCGAAGGCACACACTCAATATTAAAAATAGAAAAAAATACGATATTACGTTTTTGTGGCTTCTAGAAAGCTAGATAGGTTGATTAAAAAAAAAAAAAGTTGCATTGAGAACTGGAAGCACTTTGTGCATTCTCTGCGTAATTCTGAACATGGCGTCGTGTCGCGGGAGTAGAGGGCTGGACGGTTTAACAAAGTGGAGTATGGGATGGAGGACGGGAATGGTACCTCTACTTCAGAACTGTTGTTCACGTACCGGCAAATCTGTCTACCTTCGAAAGAGAAATCGTTTACCAATCAGAGCAATTCGGATGTACCTCCTGCGACACGCCCGACATCCAAGTTGATTCGCACAAAGATGTCGCCGAGTCGTCGCCCCTTCTCCCGGCTGAAGACATTGCATGCGCGGAAGTCTAGCACAAAGTGCTTGAATTCAACGTATTCTGCGCGACATGCCAGCTTCTCGTCTGCTTCACACAACCGGAAAAACAAACGTTAAAAAAAAAGAAAAATACAACTCAGTCGGGTGCAGCCACATCCAGAAACCCTCTCCTCCTCTACATTTCTGCTTCGGCCCAGTTTCGGTTTCAAGCAGTTGCGTTTTTTGACTCTATTAAAAATATATGTGACGCTGTAGAAAAATATTGATTGGGTAGTCTCCTGACACCCTAATTATATCGCCTGGCTAAAAATAAAAAAAAAAATATTTTGGCTCCGGTCATGAACAAGGCTTTGCAGCACTAGCAAGATCAAATCTATGCATTGTCTATGCCAGGTGCTCACTCATAACATTGTCACAATTACAGTCGCCAGCCGTTTTTTCGGACTCCGTTATTTCGGACTTGTTCTATATTTCGCACCTAAAGGCGGAACCGTGACTTACCCCATAGAAATAGTGTATATTCACGACCAATGTTTCGGACAGCTTGAAGTCAGAAAGTTGGATTATTCGGACGAAATCGTCGCGAGCGATCAGCTAGATCAGCGGAAAATACCATCCAGAAGCGGCCATTTTCAATTCTATGCTGGCTGCCAATGGATTGGCTTGGTTTGGCGGCGCTACTTGAGCACTCCGGAGTCCTACCGCTACGTGACGCTATGCTAGCCCTTTTTTTTTCCCCATTTAGCTGCACGTCATCATCATCATCATTATTATCATTTTGCTTTGTTTTTCGTTCCTTCGCATCGCCAGTCGCCATTTTGCGCCCGTGGATTTGCGCCTCTGATCTCGTTCGGACAACGCTGGCTTGGATGTCATGGCCCCATTTGTTCTTCTGCTACTTGACCATAACGCTAGAAAAGAAGGCAGCGATTCTCAAGCTAGCAGAAAGCTGTCGAACGGAAACGTAGGCGTAACCTGAACCAAGGCACAATTTACGGCTTTCCCACTTAGAAGTAATACAGGGTGAAACAAGGAGACGGCAGGCTCTTTAAATCGACCGGAAAATTCGGTTTCTTAACCCATCGTGCTACAACTTTCTGCAGCGTTGCCCATAGATGGTGCATTTTTGTTGTAAAATTTGCGAAGCGCGAACTTACCCGAGGAAAAAGTAAAGAAAGAAAAAGGCTTAGCTCCTATTGAAACGCAGCGACGCCACCGGTCTACAAACAACGCGGCGCCGTTTCGCACGGGAGACAAGAGATGGCGCAACAAACGCCGCCAACGAACGAGCATACGGCACCGAGAGCAGGCCTTTTTAGCAGACAATCTTTTCGACTCAAAAGCGGCGCGCGTTCCGCAGGCAGCGACAGCCGCAGAAACAAAAAAGACAGGCGCGGTAACAGCAAGGAACTGCAGTTCCTTGTCTGCTAAAGAGCCGGCTCTCGGCGTCGTCTGCTCGTTCGTTGGCGGCAGTCGGCGTCGCGACCGCTTGCGCCATCTCTTGTCTCCCGTGCAAAACGGCGCCGCATTGTTTGCAGACCGGTGGCGTCGCTGCGCTTCCATAGGAGCTAAGCCTTTTTCTTTCTTTACTTTTTCCTCAGGTAAGTTCGCTCTTCGCAAATTTTACGAAAAAAATGCACCATCTGTGGGCAACGCTGCACAAAGTCGTAGCGCAATAGGTTAAGAAACCGAATTTTCCGGTCGATTTAAAGAGCCTGCCGTCTCCTTGTTTCACCCTGTAAAGGCAAGGTTTTCAATCTGCCGATTTTTCGGACTGCTCTATTATTCGTACGTTTTTTCAGTCCCAGCGAAGTCCGAATAATCGGTCGGCGACTGTATTTGGGTGGCTTGGCATTTTACCCACACGCTGCGCGCATTGACTCCTTTCCCGACCGTGGAAATAGTAGATAAAAAAGCAATAAATTGAGCATGCTTAGAATGTAAGCTTGGCCAGCCCAATCGCGACGCTTCTTCATGCTCCCAAAGTTACTAGTAAACGTCTGTAGAACAAAAACAAAATCCTTTAAATTAACTAGACCCAGGGAAAAAAGCTTCAAATTATCACATATTGCCCACAGAATAGCATGTAGGATTGCCGGGAATGCGCCCATGCTCCGAGCTAACCAAAAATTAAGATAAAGCAACTGGATTACCGAGAGTCAGTCATAGGTAGTAATGCGTTACTAGTAAAGGCCGGTTGACACTCTCTCGACCGAGAAAGACAGAGAGAGACCAGACCGGTTTCTAAGCCTCTTGCAATCTCTTAGGACCAGCTCCTCTGCGGCGCATCCGGTCCCAAGAAGTTGCAAGAGGCTTAAAAACCGGTCTGGTCTATCTCGGTCTTTCTTGGTCGCAAGAGTGTGAACGGCGCTTAACACGTTACTGTGATTTCGTTACTTTTTTGGTAACTTGCAACTGTAACGAGTTACTTCTTCAAAATGTAACTTGTAACTGTAGTTCTATTACTTTTTTTGAGGTAACGATGAAAGTAACAATGTTATTTTTGTCGTTACTTTAAAGTTTTTTTTTAATAATATATTAATGAACGCGTACAATCTAGCTATTCATTGCACTTTCCAAATTGTCTGTTCCGACATTTTGAATGTCAAGTTGGCCTTTTCACAAACTTGTGAATACGTTCATTCTCACGAGGGACAACCTGAATATAGCCACGTGTAGATTTGATGGAAAAAAAAATCTACTAGTTATCTTTACGCACGCGATTGTACTTTGTGACTAAACACTTGCATCATAGTAACTTCAAGCACTATCTATGTTGCAGTTTCTCTTTTTTCTGTGCAAACACTTTTTAATCGGGTGTATCAATTGTGAAACAACAATACACGCAGAGGGTACTGCACATATTTCTTATTTTGATTAGCGTCATTACTCCGTACTGCGCATGTTTCGTGCTCGCCATCAAGCGCGGAAAACAGAAGCAACTGCTGCTAGGCTACAATATAAAGTAAAAAGCATACTTTTTGATGTTACCCAATAAAACTTGGTGAGGGGTGTTTTCTAGTTTTTCCTAAATGTTTTTGTGTTGTAGAAAATTAACTGAAAAGTAACGTCGTTACTTTTTAAAAGTAACTGTTAACAAGTTACTCTTTTTTTGCGGTAACTGTAATGGAAACTTTGCTACTTTTTTCTGAAAGTAACTGAATTTACGCAAGACTGCAAAGAATCGACTATACACAAGCCATAGAGGAGAGAAGAATGCTGAAACCTCAGCAGCTGAACCAACTGAAGAGGTGCTGAATCCACCGCAATGTTGCCAGCAACCAAGCAAATTAGACACTCGTGTTTATATGGCGTAGGGTCAGTCTGCCTTTATGGTACGGCGACGCTGGTTCGAGCTGCAAATGAGAAATTTAGCCAGTCCAGTACCGCTGCTAGCCTAAGATTTTTCGCGTGCAACATGCAGTAGCGATACATGAATGCACACCGCTACGATGCTCATTCAGGTCGAAACGGGCGGAGGTGGGGATCGAATCCAGGATTTCTGGGTTCTGCAAAGACGAGCTCTCGTTCCACGAGCTCCGAGCCGCAACGTGCTCGCGCGATCGGCCACCGATCCCTCCCGACGACATTGCAGCTTCCAAGCACATACAGTCACACAAGTCAAACGTGAGCAATTGTAAGAAGGAGCATACATACCCATCGCCGTTTCTCCCGGAGGAAGGGGAACCGTTCTCTCAGCGCTTTGAACACCTGGCAGTATTGGGATGGACTTGGTAACCTTTGCAGGAAAAGAACGAAGGATGGTTACGCTCGCAAAGGTCCAGCCCCAAGCAGTGTCAACTGAGGGCCACTGGGGCCATTACATCACTCCCTGCAGGTAATGTAATATACATTGATTAGCCAAAACATTATGACCACCCATCTAGCGTCGCTCACCTTTGGCATGCAAAACAGTTGCAACCCCTCCCGGCATGGATTCTACGAGTCCTTGGCAATTGCCTCGAGCAAGGTTGTACGAAATTTGCAAGCACAAGTCGCACAATCCCCGTAGATTACGAGAGGGTGGTTTGTGAGATTTTAACTGGCACCCTAATTACCTCCAAGATGTGCTCAATGGGATTGATTTCTAAGGAGTTAGGAGGCCTGGACATCAACTGAAATTCAGTATCATGCTCTTCAATCCACATAGAGCATTGTCCTGTTAGAAGATAGAAGATTCCAGTTCCAGTGGGAATAACAAGCCATGAATGGGTGTAACTGGTCAGCAGTGATCCTGACGTCGCGATCTGCCCTTTGTCGAAGTCACTGAAATCTATGAAACGACGCCTTCCCCATAACGTGCACACATAGTCGACAAAATGATGCCTCTGTATTTCCAGCAGTCGTTAGCTATCATCTGCATACGAAGATGGCAGAAGACGCGGATGGCGCATCAGCTAGGTGCGCTAATTCCCACAATGTAGGGGTGGTCATAATCCCTTGGCTGATCAGTGTATTGACCCCATCTGGTGTCAATACACTCCAGGAACTTGCGGTGTTCGGAAAATACAAAGGGGGAAAAAATACACACTTCGCACAACACAAGAAAGTTATGCGCACCTCCATTTAGCAATGAAGCAAAAACAAGCAGGACTATTTCCTTTGATCGGCTTTTCGCGCAAAGTTATTAAATACAAAATTTTGGGCCTCACCATTTTGTTCAAACTGAAAGCCTCTACTGCAAAACCCAGAAAACGTGATGCCAGTGGCATGCACAGATTCACAAGTTCAATAGTATCAAATGAATGCCGGAAAAGCTCACTTCTGCACTCGCTTAGCAGCAAAAAAAAATTTTGTTTTCTAGACTGCCTGTTCACGCCTGCCAGCGACGTATTGCAACTGGAAAGCATGGGAAATTTGAATGTTACCTTTGGCATTTTCCTCATTTGCCGTTTTCTCAAGAGATATTTCAAATTTAAAGATACTAAACAGCATGCCGGGAAGAACAAAGTCCAAGGTATCCAGAAAATGTAAATAGTTCGGGAAACCATGATGTTACTTGACACTGCGACATTCTGACGTCACATGACAGCATTATGTCACATAATGGCATGACATTGTGTGTACAATGATATGACATCATGATTTCAAACATTATGCCATTGGACATTATATCGGACGACACCATGACATTGTGATGTCACATGAACAATGACATGACAAGATGATGTCCGTAATTATGTCATTTGACTTGACATGACACTGATATCATGTGACACCATCACATCATATGCACCTGACGTCATGACACCATGATGTTACGCGACATTGTAATGTCACATAACAGCATGAAGTCATGTGAACAACGACATGACACCATGAAGTCAATCATTATGCCATGTGACAACATGATGTCACGTGACACTTAGCTTGATGTGGCAGGGGCCATGATGTCAAACCACGGAAGGCTACGGAGTGACCAACACCAACAAGTGAGGTGCATTGAGAGTTCCCACATAAAGCCATAGCTTTAATATTGTCGGAGCACAACTTCAAAAATATAGGATAGTGCAGCATATGGGAAACTTACAACTTGTACTTGGCGAGGTCCCTGGCAATGGCATTGATAAGCAGTGTCTTGAGCCTCGTCCGCCCAGATGTGTAAAAGGATGCGTCCTCCATCAACAGGGCCTTGTGCAGCCCTGGAGAAAACTGGGGCAGCCAGTACACCTTCGGCCACCTCTTGTACCCCCATGCAACACGAGAAGCGACCGGCTTCCCAGGCTTATCCGTGCCAGATCCATGAACGGCCGACTCGGAAACAACAGGTTCGGAAGCGGCTGGTTCTGGGGCAATTTCTTGACACGAAACCAGTTCAGGAACAGTCTGTTGACCAAAATCCGGTCCAGGGACAACCCGTTGATGGGGATCTGGCCTGAAGAAGACTCCTTCAGGGACAGCCGGTTCAGAGGCAGTTTTTTGATAAAAAGCCAGTTCGGGAGCAAATCCTGTATGAAAAGCCGGCTTGGGCGAAATCCGCTGACAAGGATCCGGTTCGAAGACTGGTTCGGCAGCGTCAGGCTCGGGGAATTCCAGTTCTGGCACGCCCGAAGTGCGCAAATGGGGAAGCCTGTGCAATTCGATAAACGTCGTAGCTAGTGCATCCGGTATATTTTTTCACAAGAATCCATGCAGCAAGCCAGAATCACTATTTTTCAGAATGCATTCTCTAAAATAAGTGCATGAGTTCTATTTGCCAAAGACAATTAGAAGGGCCGATCACTCTGACCTACGAATCACAAGGCCAAAAAACAGGCTAGAGATAGTAAGGTCTCTATCATCACAGAAGAATCATTTAGTTTTTTTGTGCAAAGCGCTAGATCTTGGTGTCTCGACATTATTCAATTTGCAACTCAGCTACCTAAAGGGGTTGCCACTCATGGGCAAATATGGCGGTCAAAAACAAGCCGTGCCGTGCCATGTGCCAGCTCAAAGCACAACGCTCAGGCTTCAGCAGACAAGCATTGGGCTCAAAAAGGTTCACCACAAGTATTATCAAGTATGTTCCAAACCTCTGGCAATCTGTTGGCATAAGCGAGCTTCCAGAGGCTTGGCCTTCTTTGGGGAAGTGATGAAAGGACTACCTACTGTCCTTTTACTGTGCTGATGAACGTTGATAAACGCAAAATGTCTGGTTAATGCGCTTGCATAGGTTGCATTCCAAGCCACCTAGGCAACATGCTGATACGACGGTAATGACAAGGGTCACCGGGACAACTGCTCGCCCTACGCAACAAGAGAAGCAACGCAAGGCGCCAACTGCCGACTACATGCAACCACAGAAGCCACAAGAGACGAGCAGAAATTGTGAAAGGACCTATTCCGGCTAGTTCAGCGTTTTCCTGCTAGGTGCCATCTGTTTCGCAGGGGTCACAAATAGCCAATGAGCAAAACCGGAGCACCCCTACACTTTGTTCACCCCCAGGCTGACAGAGCGGTGGAAGCTATGAGCTTGTTGGAACAGTGACAGGCCTACCGTTTGTTACATGATCATGCTCTCACTCATACCCGCAGAAAACTAGGTCGTGCGATGAAAGGGAGGCAGCTGAATGATCCGACAGGTGCCACACTGTTAGCTTAGGGGCTGAACGTAGCATAACGAATGAGGCATACTCTGGGAAACGATTGCCAATGAAGAGCCGAGTTCCAATTTCCGACGTTGTACCATGACCAGTCGTGGGGACCACTGCCTGAACTTGAGCAGCCTGAGAGGTGCTTGGTGTTGTGGATGAGAAGCTCGGAACAAGAGCATTCCCATCAGCGGACCTCTAATTTGCGTGAAAGCGGAAGAATTTGTTTTGCGATTCGGGATTGAAGGCTTCACCTGCAGCGAAGGTCGGTCCAGGTTTGAGAGGGGACACTACCTTGAATTGCACCTTTTTTCTCAAAAAGATTCATATTCAGAACTGCAGAGTTTTGGCATGTATGGAGAACAAGGAACACCCTCACAAAGTCTCATCAATGTGCACTGACAAACCATGTCAAAACTAATTATTCTTTATATGTTGGTGAGGTGTGCTCCACTGCATAGCACTTGTCATCCACAAGTGAAAATAGCTGAAAGCAATGTCAGTACAGTGTAAGCTCATTCCAACAGACCTAGTTACAAGAGACGTTTGGATGTAAAATACAGAGGCCAGATTCACGAAACGATCTTACGCCAAAAATGTGCGTAAGACAAAACTTAAAGAGAGCATGAAATGATTTTAAAATCGAATTTCATCCACCGCACGTCGTAAAAGGTGTGAAAAGGAACACAAAAACACAAGACTAGGGAGCCAAAAAAAATTATTTGCTATAGAACTTTTAAAAGAAAACTGGACTCTTTTGCGACTTCTTTCCTTCGAAAGCTCTGCCTTTTCACTACGATGCATACGCAGAATTGGTGCACGTCAGCCGAATCCACATCGCCTGTTGGGTAAGAGCCTACCTCACCAGCACCGCGATCGTAAACAATAAATAGCCGGCGAATGTTTCCTAAAAGTTTTGTTAAATAATATTCAGATCCACATTTTGTAGCATAATTAGAGATGTGTGGCGAAAATTGCCAAATTTGATAATGCTGAGAGCCAAGCGCCATCTATCGTGTGGTAAACGAAGCAACTACTGCGCGTGCGCAGTAGGGCAGGGCCAAGTTCAGAACGGTTATTTCCTTTGGTTTCCTTCCTCTCAAAACTCTGACTGACTGAACGTTTATTTTTCTACGTGTTCATCTCGCGCGTGCCGACTTCAAGCAGCAAGAAAGAAATGTACTTAAAACAAACCACGACGAACAAGAACGCTGGATCCACAAACACCCGAGAAGAGCGACAACAGCCGCGACTCCCGCTCCGACGAAACTCTCAGAATATAGGCCTAGCAGGCACTCCGACTCGACGCAGCGTTGCTTCGTCGCAAGACCGTCTGCCTATGACCGGCTGGCGTACTGAATGGAATATGCCCGCGCTACCCTTGTGGACCCTTCCGTATTATAGTTTGATCGCTGACCTCAATTTTAGGTTAAGAGGTGAGGTCAATCTCTTCCCCTTGTTTTCCGAGGCAGTGTTGACGAACACTCGTCGAAAAGGGACCCTCGTCGATCCTCTCCTTGTTTTGTGTGATATAGAGCTGAAATAAACGCCGTATGGATTACCTTCGTAGCACGGTATGTACACTTTGTTATTGGTATGCCATTTTTATTCTGACAGACTGCACGTCACTGTCGAGCTGTAACAGTTCGTGGGAGGTATACCGGGGTATACGTGCAATACCGGTCCAACCTTTCTTTGCCGAGTGTCGCGTCAGTATCGAGTTGCAAATGTAAAAGATCGGTCCCGAAGCGCTTACCAACAGCGCGAATACAGCACTTCATCAAACGCGCGCGTCCGCTCCGAGTGTGAACAGGTATTTACGTGGCTCTTGCTAACAGTTCAAACGTATCTTTTTTAACGTCGGCTCGCTCCTGCATCTCCGAGACCGCGAAAAACGCCGCGGCAAATTGTTCCCATCTGCACTTCCCAACAGGCATACCGGCGTATGGGACTAGTCCCATGCTGTCGCTGTAGCGCAACGTATCTCAATGAATTTCGTTCAGCTGCGATGCGGCGATGAGAGGCGCCGATTCAGAAAATACGTCGGTGACATCGGCGCAGTAAAACCCACCGGCGCACCCCAACTCGCTAACGCTCCCATCTCCTACTGCAGAGAGAACTTCCGGTTCCGGAAACATCGTACGTCACGGCTTGTTTTGCGGTCAAGAAAAAGTCGATATTTCATTAATTTTTTGTGTAGAAGTTAATAAACCGAGACGAAAACGGATGCCTGTTCGGCATTCAGTGAACATTGACGGTTTATTGTAAAAGTTATGTGGAAAAAGTAAAAAAGTCATTTCATGGTCCCTTTAAGAACAAATCCGTATTCACGAAACGAAATTTTCGTAAGTTTTGCGCAGGTTACGACGAACTCCTACGACAGCTCCGGAGCTGTCTTACGCACTTCTTACGATCAAATCAGCATGGCCGACACATCGCTCAGTTGGTCGCGACAACCAACGGATGTTTATTTTTCTACGAGCGCTTCTCACGCGTCCCGACTTCAAGCAGCAAGAAACAAGTAAAAAGTACTTGAAACAGACCACGACGAACGAACAAGAGCGCTGGATCCACAGACACCCGGGAAAAACTCCAAGGGCCACGAGTACGGACTCTGACCGATTGGCAGATAGGCCTAGCAGGCACTCCGACTCGGCGCAGCGATGATCTGACGGTCCTTGGCGAAGACCGTCTGCAGCCCACGACCGGCTGGCGTGCTGAGTGGAATATGCCCGCGCGACCCTTGTGAACCCTTCCCGTATTATAGTTTGATCGCTGACCTCAATTCTAGATTAAGAGGTCAATCTCTTCCTCTTGTCATCTCCTTGTTTTCCGAGGCAACGGTGACGAACGCTGTCGTCGAAAAGGGGCTCTCATCGATTCTATCTCTGTTTTGTGTGATATTAAGCTCAAATAAACGCCGTATGGATTACCTTCGCAACATGGTATGTACACTTTGTTATTAGAATTCCATTTTATTCTGACACGACTGCACCTCACTGTCGATCGCTGTAACAGTTCGTGGGTCGCAATGCCGGTCCAACCTTTCTTCGCCGGGTGTCACGTCAGGATCGAGTTGCGATCGTAAAGGATCGGTCCCGAAGCGCTTATCAATTCGCGGTCCAACAGCGCAAATCCAGCACTTCGATCAAACACGCGCGTCCGCTCCGTAGTGTGAACAGGCATTTACGTGGCTCTTGCTTACGCTGTCGTAGTTCAAACGTATCTTTTTTTAACGTCAGCTCGCTCCCGCCTCTCCGAGGCCGCAAAAAACGCCGCGGCGATTTGTTCCCATCTACGTCACTTTGCAAACGACTGCGGGCCGTCTTTTACCAACCATGACAGTTGTGTTGACTTGATAGCGATCGAGTTCGTAGCAGTCAGAGGGGGCGGTTACTCACCCCGGCCTCGGCATTCGGGCGAGTTTAAATCGTGTTAGCGTCGACATATCACTGCACGGATACGAACCCCAGACAAGCGGTGGCAGAAAGGCCGCCTGTGTTATGAAAAATCCACGTGCTCCGAACGGCTCCGAACAAATGCCGAGCTCTCCGATTGGTTGTTCGTGCTGCCGAAGACGCCGTCGCCATAGCAACAGCACCGGTAAGTTTTAGTTTTTCCGTACGACAACGTCGCTTTCCTCCTCTCACTTAAGAACGCGTTCGTGAATACCGATTTCTCCTCTTCTTACGATGTTCTTAACTTACGAACTTCTTAGCTAAGTTCTCATAAACTAAGAAGCTCTTCGTGAATCTGGCCTCTGATTTGTGAAGTTTGGTTCGTTTTCCTCTACATACCATTGACTCAACTTCATATCTGCATACAACATACTCTTTTTACAAAAGACCAAAATCTTGGTCAAAATCAAGGTCTGTTATAACGAGCTTAGACTGTATATCAGAAGTTTGAAGAAGACATTACCTCCCCTGCTTGAAAGAATTTCTGACATTTAAGACGCAAAAAAAAAGTTCTAAAATGTTGTCTTAAAACTTCAAGTGCA